CCTCACCATCTCTCCTACTGTGAATGGACATCCGTGGTTCTTATCCTGTATGGGAACCTTTTGTTTATTGTGCTTCTGACTTGACCTGACCTAAAAGTAGCCCTTTGGACTGTCTTTGTAGTTTTGCAACTTGCCACAGTGTAAGAGCTGAGGGAAATGAGGGAAATGTTTTAATAATGGGTTTAGGTCTTGTATATATAAATGAGGTAACTCGTGGTTGCTGTGAAGCCGGACACTGTGACACTGATGAGTCAGATGTGAGAATGGTTACCCATGGTGGACAGTGTTTGGTGGAGCTCCCCGATTAAAACAAGCTTGGAAGCAGGAGTGGCATCCACTTCCATAATAGCTTGCTTCTGGAAACCCTATGAACCTGGAGAAAGGACAAAAATTGTACAGGGTTGCTATGAGTCACCTGCGACTTGACAGCACTTGTTACAACATATATAAATTAATTTGGCACTAAGTTTGTAACCTCAGAATAGCCCATTATCTTGGGAAGAAGACATGACAACATGAAAAATAGAATTTTTATACTACACTGCAATCCCAAAGGAACATGGTTTGAGGCCAAAGCTGTCCTGCGAAGGGCAGTTTCCTCCCATGCGATTAACTACCTCTGAAAACTCTCCTCTGAAAACTCGCCAGAGGGTCAGCTGTGGGTCAGTTCCGACTCACCGGTACACAACACACAGTTGTCTTCTGTCACCACTAGCACTCCGGCAAGTATAGAGGATTCATCATGATCTTTCTTCTCTCCATTCAGGCCTTCTGCCAGAGAGAGCTGAGTGAGCCAGGCTTGCTGGTGACCTAATTTCAGGCCCACTCTGAAAGGAGTCTAGGAATGGGTATATTCATTGGACCCTGACCAGACCCTCTCTAATTGCAGTGCCCTCAAGTGGCTACACCTGTGTTTTCTGCCTCTTGGCATTTTTCTTTAATACTATTTCTGTTGCTGCTGTTACTACTACTACTGGAGCGCTTTGACTTAGTGGGTAAGGAGTTGCACTGCCAACTCAAAGGTGTGTGATTCAAATCCACCTGCTTCTTCGCAGGAGAAAGATGGGGAGTCTCCCAGTTCAATTTACAGCCTCTGAAAACCTACTTATACTTCTACTACTCTTCACTGCTAGCTGAACTGACTCATAGCTGGCCCTCCAGTGGGATTTTGGAGGATATAAATTGCATAGCGAGAGATTGCCAATCTTTCCCACCCCACACACACACACCCCACCCCCACCTCCAGCCCTGAGAAGCCCCTGTTGGATTTGGGAGAAAGGTGTGACCTGCCTTTGGGTTAGCAGAACAACTCCCTACAGACTGTCCCACCAGAACTCCCTTTTTATTTGTCTCATAAATTTCTGTTCTTCTTGTTCTGTTCTTACAGTTTCTGAAAAAAGGACCAAAATATCACAATAACTCCTACATGAAGAGGACCTTCTAAACCTACAACTGGGATTAATGAGTTCATTGACTTCAGAAGAAATTTCAGCTAATTCTCAGGATGAAAGTCAAAACAGCCCTGTGAAGGTATAAACACTGGCCCACACAAGTCAAACAAACACTTTTGATCATAATGCAGGGATAGTTCTTTGTTATTTACACATACACCCACACACACCCTCATCACACGCCCTGATGAAGTGTCTCAACAGATGGAAGGCCTGGCCTCCAAGCCTGTTGACTGAGAGGATGCACTTCACTCAGGGGTCCCAAAGTACATAGTAGGGCAGGGAGGAGGGACAAGGAGCTAGTGTGGGTAACTATTGTCTTTTAATACTCTGTACAGATTGAAATTTGAAAAATCTTGTTCAGTAAGGTTAGCAGCCTCAGAAACCAATTTGGCTGATATGCCTCTAATAGGGACTAAGCTTAGGGCACACCAAGGGTAAAGTATTGGCTCTGTATTCTCCCCCTTACTCTCTCATTTGAAAGCCAGTACAAAGAAAATGGTACAAATGGATGGTTAACTTAATGATTCTATCAGAGGTGGATTTTTCTTTGTCAGGATCCTGGATGAGGCCAGGTCTGAAAACCAGGAGGCAGAATCTGTACTTAATTGTTCCTTCCTTCCTTCCTTCCCAGGGACCAGGACTCCTCTCCAGACCTTTCCTTTATACATTCCCCATCCTCTCTGGCTTTAGCCTAGTTGGGTCACTGGACTGTAGGGTGGGTCCAGTATTTCTCTGGTTGCAATGGGAAACTCTTCTTGCCAGGTACTCTTTCTCCACTCTACCCTCTCATTCCCAGGCATCTCATCTCATTATCATGTCCGAGGGTCATTAATTTACATTTGATAACCTGGATAGAAGAACCAGGGGAGTCCAGACAACTGCCACCCTTATCCACGGGTTTGAACTCATGGCCCAGACTCCTTTTTGCAGGCCCAGGAGCCTCCACAACCTACCTTCGCCCAGATAGGTCTCTTTTGGAGGACGCAAAGGAAAAAAAAACAAACCAAAAACCCAACCACACAACAAGATATTTCCTTTCTTGAAGGCAAAGGATGTAGACCTCCCAGACGTCTATGCCTGCAGTAGGTCCTGGCCCTTCCCTGCCACCGCAGGCTCCAGCTCCAGCCCAGCGCTGCCTTTGTGTGGCCTCCCCAGCCGCGGAGCCCTTGGGGAAACCGCGTGTACAATGGCGCTGCCACTCCAGGAAGGCCTTCAATCCTTCGCCTGCAGCACCAGCCTAGGACCTTGAAGACTTGAAACGTTCCCCCTTACCCCTTCACCAGGCCCAGGGGTGAAATACAAGCTCAAACTCCACCCCTCCCTGTTGACCCTTTCTTCCCACTGCAAAACTACCCAGGAGGTGAGGCCTGGGCCTAGGGCGCCATTACCAAGCCCGGGCTCCCCCTCCCCCACGCTTTTCTTTGCTTCTCAGAGACCCGGGAGGGGGGATTGCCTCCTCCATTAGAGCAGCTATTGTGACCTTCCCCTGCTGAGCGGGAACTCAGCGGAGTGTGTACCGCCGGCGGTGGCGGGGGAGGAGGCTGTGCGCGCAGACATCGGTGCTGAGAGGGTGGCACCGGCAAATGAATAAAGGTCTGCAACCTCGGGCAGTTGGGCCCTTCTAAGGGCGTTTGGTTGTGTTTAGACTTGGGTGCTTCCTAACACTAATTGCAAACTCAAAAGGAGCAGGATTTATAGCGAAGGCCAAGGCGGCTTGTTTATAATTTATGAACTTTTAAATGGCTATGCCGCGGGCTCGGGCTGGTGCAGCCTTTGTGCAGCCCATTCCCCACTACCTCCCGGACTTGCAGCCCCCGCCGCACCGAGCACTGAGCGTGCCCGTCACATGACCCTCACGCCAATGCCAGTAGAGATTCCTTCTTCAAGAATCAAGGACCTGCAGGGACGAAAACTCCAGAGCTGGCCCAAGTGAACAAACCCCATGGGTGAGGGGTGCCTTCAGATGACTGCGGTTGCCTGGAGAGGGAGCTGCCCACTGTGCACTTACTGGGAGCCTGAGTGTGAGAGGAAACTAATGCCAGCCCGGCTAGACACCGTTTAAAGCCTAATCCATGAAACCCTAAGCCGCAGATGACACTTGGGGCCTTGCAGACACCCGCAGACTCAGCAGATAGTCCTGCGGTAACACACCGCACGCTGGAAAACGCCTGGAGCCATGATGCATTATGTATTTTTATTATTATTTATGGTAGGAAGAGAGGAAACCGGGCTGAATCTAAACACCCTGACAATTCATCTGTTTAATATTTAGCCAGTTAAGAAGGTTGGTTTAAGCCCTGCAAGGCTGTGAGCTCATCTTTGATTTCCCTAATAGCTTAAAAAATAATTTCTTACAATAAGAAATTTCTGCCTATGGATGCAAATTTCATAGAAAAACAATTTTAAGCCTTGAAAGTGGATAAAATATGCCTTCGACTGAAGCCATTTATTTTGCTGATATACACTTCTACAACATGTATACTTTAAACCAGCTCAGATAAAGTGAAATTTAGCAAAAAGATAGTCCCCCTCCCGCCCCCAATCTAACATGCCATTTAAAAAACAGCACAAAGGAACAAGGAAACGAAATATTATTTTGAGCCATCATTATTCAGCGAAACACAAACATCCAAATAGAAACGATTGTTGTTCCACCAGAAGATTAGGAGTTAAATTATTTCCACACAATAGGAATTTCACCTCGTGTCACCAGGGGATGTAGTAGGAGTTTCATTATTTGTCAAACCAAATAGAGATGTGTGGGCCAACTTTTCTGAAATACAAAAGAATTGAACCTTATCTGAAGGCGTTTTCCAAATACCCCCTCCCACAGAAGAGAGTGTAAGTTGTCCGCCCCTCGCTAATGCCACACTAATATTTACAAAAAGGCTATAAATCCTTTAAGACATTTCTGCCCGTTTTTGTACAAAGAAACAGGAGTAAACAAGGTGTTTATACTTAATGTTTCATTAATGAAACTTTTATTACTTTACATTGTGAGGAACGTTTGTTTTCCTTATAAATGAACCACTGACCACTACAAAGGGGGGAGAAAATTAAGACAGCATTTCCTGGAGAAAAAGCTTAGGTGTTTGTCTCCAAATGACCATTTCTTTTTCTGCACCTTAGCCTTTTCATACATCAATCCTTCTTACGTCTTCTCTTGTCTCTTTTCTTTGATTGTCAATTTTCTTTTAAAGTTTATTTTTTATTAAGCAGAAACGTGAACTCTAACCTCCCCAATGGAAATGGATTCTTAAAAAAAAAAAAAAGGACTAGAAAGAGGGCAGTAGAAACAGCAACAGCACAGGGGAAAGCCCTATCCAGTCTCACCCAGAACAATTTCTAGGTTTGCATCTACAAAATTTTCTCTCCAGATTTCAGTTGCTAGACAGTAATCAAGTATCTCAGAACCAATTTTTGCACTAGATTTCAAATTTGAAGTTTTTAAAGGATCAATCTCTTTCAGGGCCTTGTCTAGAGGATTGTGCAAAAGATAAAGGCAGAATGGTATGTTTGCAAGTGTGCGTGATTAACACAGAATACTGACTGAGAAAAAATTTTTTATTCTAAATATTTCTTCAAATAGTACCAGACAATTTGAAATCAATAAACTGTGTCCAGTGGTAAAGGCTGCGGCTGTTGAGAAACAAGTGGCGTGGCACGCCACGGGGCTGCTTGACTCAGCCCATGAAGGGCAATTCGTGGTCTTAATCCTTTTACATCAACTACAAACACCAGCCACGGTTACAACTGTTCAAAACTACTCTCTCAACTAGTTCAGACCAAGGGGACTAAAGAGGTGAAATGTGGCCCCTGCGGCCTGGGAGCGCGTTCCTAAGCTCAGCTGGAGGAATTCTACAAATATACACATAAATACATTAAGACGAGGATAAATAATCAGGGAAACGAAATGACTCGCTTCAAATAATAAATACAGATCATTGAGTCCGATGCAATCTTTATGGGACGGGAAGAGCACATAAATTAAGGTCTCCAAATCTAAGCTAGACGCGGGCCAGGCCCGGGGCGCTCCGGGCTCAGGCCCATCTGCGGGCGCACCGGCGATGGGTCTCAGACTTACCTTTGGGACACCATTTACCAGACTGGAGTCCCTCGGCTCGCAGTATATGGCACTGTCAGGCTTACAGAGGAGGATCCTTGCGGCTGATTAATGGCGAGTCACCCAAAAGAGGATACGCCTGGAAGGGAGGCCTGACCGCCCGCGGCTCCGACGCTGCAGGCCTGAGACCCAGGAGGCAGCAGCCAGGCCAGAGCCAGGAAGGGGGACACTGTGCCTCCCCGTGGGCCCCGCCCGCCACCCTTACCACCAAGAGAGGTAACTGTGCCCCTAGTTCGAGACAGGCGGCGACCGCTACAGATGCGTCAGTTTGGGGGCCTCGGGCAGGCGTCCCTGAGACGAGTGGTGAGCCGAGAGATCCGTGTAGGTGGGATGCGGGTCGCACGGTCCGTGGTGGTGGTTGCCAGGGATCTGCGCGGCGCAACTGTAGTCCACGCTGGCCGAGGACGGGTGCGAGAGGTGGCCCAGGTTGAAGACGGGCCCGGACGCGGGCGCCATGGAGTCGACGAAGTTGCCGCCCACGTACACCGGGCTGCCCTGCAGGTTAGCGCTGCCAAAGCCACCGCCATTGCTCGCCATGGGGTGGGGCTCGAACTCGGGCGCCGCGTAACGCTTCTGCTGCGGCAGGCAGCTGCTGAGCGGCGCCGTGTAGGCGGCCAGGCCGTACATGTTGGGCTGAGACTTGGCGAAGGCCGGGGGCGAGGGCGCGTCGTAGGCCAGGCCGGGCACCGGCGGCAGCTGGCCCGAATAGGCCACGTGGCCCGCGGCGCCGCCGAGCGGCGGGCTGCGCTCCGGGGACTGCCCGGCGGGCGAGTGCAGGATGCCCTTGGCCTTTTGGTCCTTTTTGTATTTCATGCGCCGGTTCTGGAACCAGATCTTGATCTGGCGCTCTGTGAGGTTCAGCAGGTTGGCCATCTCCACGCGGCGGGGCCGGCACAAATAACGGTTGAAGTGAAATTCCTTCTCCAGCTCCACTAGCTGTGCGCTGGTATATGCCGTGCGCACTCGCTTGGAGGCTGGGCCCGGCGGACTCTTGTCTTCGCAGCTCTCTCCTATAAAGGGAAGCAGAGAAGGGGTTGCACTGAGCGAGAGAGGTGGGGATACCCAGGGCAGGAGAGGGGTGCCTCCTTGGTTGCCTCCTCCTCCACCCCTCCCCCACTTCCAATCCTAGCCTGGGTGGGGGAGGGGCTCTTGAGAGGTGAGATTCCAAGGGGGGAATCTCACTCCCTCGGGCCTACATTTAATCGCACCTGAAACCCTTGTCTGGCTTGGGAGGTCCAGTTCAATCTGCTCATCTACTCTTCTCAGCCTTGCCCATCATCCCGACCCAAAGGCCACAGAGGACTTTAATGAGGGGTCAGGAGCATCTGTGCCAGACTTCACTGATCGCCTCTCCCAGACTCTACTGCTGGGTGGAGGGAGTCAGCCCAGCCTGGCAAGGCATAGAGGTGGGCATCTTAACATCCAACTCCAACCCAGCTGCACCCAGGGCCAGAGAGGTAGTAAGCCTTGAAAATATGGCCCTGGAGTTTTAGAGCACCCAGGACAGCTGACTGCATGGGAAGCATTAAGCATTGCAGTGCTAGGAGCAGCAGCCTCAACACTGGCTCCCACCACCCTGCCACCTCTCTTCTGCTTGTCCACTCCCTCCCAGGAAAGACAAATGAATTTCTTCTGGGAGGGAGAGCCTGGACCTGCAGCTGAGGAGGGAGGGGCAGGGGAAGGAATTTGCAAGCTGGGAGACACTTTCTACCTAGAAGCAGCAGTTCCCCTCCCCCACAGCAATGGGCAGACCGGAGAACTGACAAGAAGAGCATCCCAGGCCTCAAAGTAGCCCTGGACCTGGAAGGAGGTTCATCCACCTGAAGATAAACTGCATCAGAGAAGACATAAGACTTTCACAAGAGTCCAGGAATCAAGCAGGCTGAACAGAAAAAATGGGCAGGCCTCAGGCTCCAGGCCCACTCAGCCTTTTCCACATACCTTGGATGGACCTATGGAAGACCCTCTGAACTCTAGGGTCTCTCCCTCCCAAGGCTGCTCCTGATTCAGAGCATATCCTCTTTCCCTAAAATGTGCCCCTCCCCATTATGAATACACTGGAATAGGGAAAATTAGACTTGGGTGGGCCATGCAGACTGCTGTGGTTGTCTTGTTGGTCCTGGTCTAAAACTTTATCATCATTTTTGTGACCTTAGGTAAGTCTTTTATCCTCCCTAACATTTGTCTCCTTTAGAGAGCCTAGTGGTAAGAAGCTCTGCTGCAGTCCCAAAGGCATGCACTAGTGGTTCCAGTGCACCAGCTCCTCCTCTTGTGAGACTTACTGCCTCTAAAAGCCCACTGGAGGGTCAGCTATGGGTCTGCCCTGACTCCAGGGCACACAACAACAATCTATAAAATGGGAATAGTAGCATCTACGTCAAAGGTTTGGAAAATAGTATTTAAGAATACAGATAACGTCCTTAGAATGACTTCTAATGTAGGCAATGCTCAATAGATACACACACACACACACATACACATACACACACACACATTGCCATCAAGTCAGAACAGGCTCATTGAGTTCACACAAAAAGATATTGTCTATTATACTCTCTTGGAGCTACTAATGGATTTGGCCCTCTCAAGAGCTGAAGCCTTCTGGTTAGAACTCTAAGAAGTACGCCAATAGGGTTCCCTCTGTATAGACTTTAGTTCTTATTAATATAAGAGATTTCATAGGATTTATATGGTATGGACTACATGACCCCCTAAATTTGGAGATCATAATGCTGGTGTTCACATATCAAATATTTAAAGGAAACTGAGTTATAACCAGCAGACAACCAATATTAGCTCAGCCTGAGGAAGAGCTCTATTAATAACCATGAGATTTGCCTATCAATGGCGCTATCTGCCTAGAATGGTAGTGAGCTCTTGTCCCTATAGAGGTATGACTCCCACCAGGAAAGGCATATATGCATGAATGGGAGCTTTGACAATATGGCTTCCAAAGTTGTACTTCCAGTCCTAAGTTTCCTATGTGGAATGGACAGTCTGGTAAGGGTTTTTGAGGTGAACCCCTCAGAAAACTACCTGCAGTGGTACAGCTGTTCTTCTGCTTGGAGTTTTGTCGAGACTCTTTCATCCAGGGGAAGATCTGTTTGCTGATGGTAGCTGAGGAACCAGAAGCATTGGGCCCACCCTTAGTCTTCTTTGTAGGCACCCCACCTCCAGGATTCGAAGGTGAAGATGGGGGCAGGGTTGGCGGTGGAGGAGGGGGTTGTGGTGGCTGTTGCTCTGAGTTCAGAACTGGAGGCTGACTGCCACCACCCCCACCCTGGCCATTTCCAGTGCCAGGTCGCATACAGCTGCCATTGAGATCAGCTCCCTTGTGGGCTGGAGCTCGAAGAGGTGTGGAGTTCTGGATGGAACAGGCTGAACCTGGGTAATCAGTGTCCAGGGAGTTGGCAGGTGGTGGGTAGGGTTGATGCGGGGCACTGTAGCCATAAGTGTCAGTAGCTTTGCTGTAGCCATAGCCTCCAAAGAGTCCTGGGTTTTCATAGTAAGCAGCCTTCTGCATCATGCACTCAGAAAGCTCTGGGGCCTGTTGACCCTGCTCAAATAACATTGATTTCCACTCTCTCCTTCACTGCTACCTCCAATGTCTACTGAATCTTGAGAAAGAAGCTGGGCCAGCCCCAGGCCCCAAGTGACCTGCCAAGAAGAAAAGTGAGAGGCCCCAGAGGGACTGTCATTGGCAAGACCAGTCAATATAGAGAGACAACACATAAGCCCCAGGCTCTCAACTACCCATTTCATGGTGTTATGTGTAGGGAGAAGGGGTGACTGGGATAAGGTGCAAGATTTGTGAAATTCAGCTTATTTGAGCTCTCAGGAAGGTTACAAATTCTTCCTACTGTGCCAAAGACCCATCTTCCCAACTCCAGCCGAAAGAAGCAGCTTTTTCTTTTCCCTGCCTAGATAGTCGTTTCTTGCCCCAAAATTGCCATGTCAGCCTGTGAACTTACACGTCATCAAATATTTGGTGGGTAATTTCCCCACTAAACTGTTAACTACTGGCAGGAAGAACCTGTCCTTTTTCCGTTTACATATTTCAGACACTGAGCTGGACAATTGCACAGGTAATACTTATGGAATAAATGCTTGTTGAATGCACAAATGAAGAAATGGATCAATTAGTCAATCGCTAGACCATCCTAGGGGTTTGAGTGGCAAAAAAACCTCTGTAACACAGAACAGCCAAAGTTCTTTTGGGAAAATAGTCTCTTACCCACCTGGTTTCAAAGTCCCAGCATCTTTCATGGAAACTTAGGTTGTCCACTTTCCAAAGACAGCATGAAAAGTAGCCCAGTTCAGTACTGTAAGAGGCACAATGGAGAAAACAGAGATGAAAACTAAGAAAAGGACTTAAAAGATGCCCAGGCTTATTGTGAGGATATGAAATATTTTTCTTTCATCTATATTTTTCTAGAACTTTAAATTTGTTTTCCCACTACTTTTACATTTATACCAGTACAGATAGGTCAAGAGTCTTGGAATTTGAAATGCTTACTTTGAATGAACATTATTTAGACCCTGGGTCTATTTATAAATAGGTATTATTTTTATTGACCCCTTCTCTGGATCATCCGTTCCATCCTACCGCCCAACCAACCCATAACCAATGGGGAAACTTCTAATGACATGATTAATGGATCCAGAATTTTAACAACTATAAAAAAAAATCTTGAAGAAAAATTCTGTCCCTTTTGTGTCCCATGACTCTTAATGGGGTTTTCTCTTCTTACTCCCCACCCTTTCTCCTAAAAGGTTCCTAAGAAGTTAAAGTATAACAATTACCCTTTAACCACTTTTGTCTGCTTTATAAAGAAAACTCATAGGTCAGCTCCCTGGCCTTAATTCTCAGCCTCATCTTTCAGGCAACTTTCCTTCCCAGAAACTCTTCCCTATTTCCATCATGTTCATCATGATGGACCATCTGGACAATTTATGTGACCAGATGGATTTGACTACTTCCACCAAAGCCACTTCTGTATTCATTCACTTTCCCGCCAGCCACTTTCATCAAAGATCAAGTAAAAATTTCTTCACATTTTTGCAAATCATCCTTTGTTTGGTAGTGTTTATGTCCATTTAGTTTTAGAATAAAGTGAAGATGCCATTTATCTTGATGAAAGACAGGCCCTTCTCAATGGACACTAGGATACAAAGATAATATGTTTTAGGGATTGTTTGTATTGTTACTCTTAAATGTACAAAGTTAGAATATCTGTGAAACAAAGCTAGACTTAATCTTTCTCTAAATATTAAAATCACTAATATCAAATGGACAGCTAAATCCCTATTCTGTGATATATGATTTTGTTCCTATGTTTTAGTTAAGTGGCTTTAGTTAAGAGCTTTTATGGAATCGTGCTTCTAATCTTTAAATTTTGGACATTTTTTCTTTAGATGATCATGTTCAATACCCAAACTACCAGAACTCAAGTCCCTACTTCTATCATCTTTTTATAATTACAAAAGCAAAAATATCCCCCTTGCCTCTCCCAACTAGATGAAAGTTTATCTTGAAAGGTGGAAGAGGCACACTAAAACTGCTTTCCTTGCATAGTGGCCAGGTCTTTGGTACAAATGGTTTTACATTCACATTTGTTCCTATGCCATATTCTCAGAAATAACTCGCTATACAGAACTCAAAAGGGTAGATACTGGCAGCTTCCTGAGTAACCACAGTCTGTCCTCCTACTTCTATTTTCATTGTCTTAAGGAATTTCTAGGCCAGTTTAATGATAATCCAAAACCTCACACAGATTTCCCCACAAGCAAGGGTGGGCAATGCTCTCCTTTCTAGGAAGAGCTTTCCAGAAACCCATCTAAAATGCAGCACCTCAAAGAAGCAACTTCTAAAATAAAATCTTAAAATATTGTTGAAAAACTGGTGAAGAGTCTTAGTTCTTTCCTGAAATCCCTACTCCTTGTGAACTTTGCTTGAACCTAAAAAAGCAGGAACCGGTCATAAATCACTTGGACAATGGTCAACTGTTTGGTGGCTCATCTTTTCGATCACCCCCTCCTTTTTTTAAAAAAAAAAGTGTCTCTCTTTCTGTCTCTCTCTCTGCCTTTATACTACCTTTTCTCATTTGGTCTCTGAATCCCAAACGCCTTGGGGTGAAGGCAGCCCCAGTGGAGGGGAGGGGCGGCAGGCCTCTTCCCCATCTACCTTTTCATCTCATTCCTCCAGCCCTCCACCCTCCAGCCCAAGGAACAAGCCAAGGCCAGAACCCCACTACCACCACCACTACCACTGGCCTCTCCTGAGAAAGGGGCGCCAAATAGGGTCTTGTCCCTCTTTTCTCGTGGTCCAGGAAAGTTGCCTAACTCAGCTTGAGCCCTCAGGCCTGAAGTGTGGGACCACACCGAAGGGAGCCCCTGAGCCACCCCGGCCCCATCACTCTACTGGAGCTGGCCTACCGCGCCTCCGAAGTAGCCGAACCCTGATACTTGCTCACTGCACTTAATTCTGCCCGGGATCAATACCTAATATGATACCGAATAAATAAAAGGCGCTCACAGCGGCTAGGGGACGAGGTTATTAAGCAGCTGGAGCTCTCACGGTGCATATCAATGCACCTGTCATTGTGGTTTGTAACAAAATTTATGACCGCAAGCTCCGCGGCAGTAAACGCTTCAGTAAGGAATGAAAAGAAAAACACTTCCCAAGACCCGGCACTTTTCAGAAGTGGAAAGCAGGCTCCGCGTAGGAGGAAGCGCAGCAAAAGAATTCTCTGCTTGGCACTTGGCGGCCGCGCGCCCGAGCAGGGGGATTATATAAACGGCCGGCGCCCGCCTTGGGCTGCAGCTCCGCTCGGCTCAGCTCGGCAGCCGCGGGTATCGCACGCTCGCCCAGCCCCGCCGACTCGGCCGGGGAGGACGCGCCGCCCAGCGCGGCCTCAGAGCCGGGACACCCAGCCGACGCGTGGAGCTCGGCCTGGCGCTCGCTTGCTCGCCGAGGCCGAGGGCCGTGGAGAGAGCCGGTGGCTTGGGCCACGGGCTTGGACAGGGCGGGGGCGACAGTGGCTGGGCTGTGGCTAGCGCCGTAGTCATAGTAAATCACCGACCGGTAGTCCTGTAAGTCAAGAGAGATGGGGGAGGCGATGGTGTGCTGATTACTTGTGTCTGTTTAAAAATGGTCTATAGGTCCTACTGGTTTTGCAGTGCTGCTTCAGCATCTCAAAACCACTCCTTTCTCCTCCCCCCACACTCCCAGGGACTCTCTGAAAGAAATTTAGTGGGACTCCTACCTACCCAATCCTTCCCATTTCTCAGCCTGAGCACTTTTTGCCCTATGGGAAGCCCTGGACCTGCGTCTAAATCACTCTTATTTAGCCCAGATAACTCAATACTGTAATGCACCCTGCATTTAAGGCACCGGGCTCACCCCATTAAAACGCCATAAATTTGAAGGCTGATGATCGGTTATCATGTAACGGGCGGCAGTTCACACCGAGGCGATCCACTTCAAAGCCGCCCTTTGTTTTATGTCTTGATGTATTAATCCAGAGATGGATACCTTGAGTTGCAGGACAGATGGAAATATGGAAATGTAATGGAAGTTATTTTTTTAAAAAACACGCCCACTCACCACAATTATGTGTGTGACTTTTCCCCCCCTTGAATTTGGTCTCTAAGTCTTTTTTTGTAGGCTCTTCAAGTTCCTTTTGATATTCTGTGGAGAGGAATCTGGAACAAAATGGAAAACTCTCAGTGGCAGTCGGTTCTTTCTTACAAACACTTACATGTCAAGCGGCTTTACCCCCTTTAAGGGTGTCATAATCAATGTGACTATTGTATATGGTGCCCACAGACATTCAGGGCGCCTTCCTCCCGGACGGGTGGGCAAAAAGGAGACTCCTTTGGCTCTGGGAGAGCAGGAGGCCTTACCACTGAAATCCTTGGCTGGATGGGGGAGGAAGATGGGAGAGGAGGAGGCCAGGACTAAGGGAAGCTCCAGACCCAAGGGCCTGGGGGCAGGCCAAACAAGGTCAGAGGTTCTGGGAGAGCAGTCCACAGTCCTCCTGCTCCCACCAAACCCCAAGGTGCACAAAACCCCGAGGTTAATCCACTCTCCAAAGGGCAGAAGAGAAAGATTGTGCAGAATTTGGGGTAGGTCGAAGAGGACTGTTTGGGACAGCAGGAACCACAGTTGGTTCCAGGCATGGGCCTGGATGCTGGGTAAGTTATGGACCAGGGCTGCTCTGAATCAGGGTCCCTCTGCAGAGGATCTGGATGTTCCTGGCTTATGCATTTCAACTCCTCGTGGGTTTTTGGGGTTTCTTATTCCAGTCAGGAACACCACACTACTGTCCGAGGAGGCCCGCCAACTTTGGGCTCTTCTTGCTAGCAGCCTAAGAAACAAACATCCCTTCAATCCCTACCCGAATACACAGAGTAGGCTGCCCACCAGTGCACTCGCTCAGCGGGGGCCCGCCCCGTCAGGTGAAAGGAGAGAGGCGCAGTCCCCCTTTTACATCTGCCCAGTGCAATTTGTCCACTCAGTAGTTTGCAAACACTAAACCGCGCCCAGGAAAGCCCCACACAAAGCGTCCCTAGCCCTTTTAAAGACCAGAGCGCGCAGCCATAAGCCTTTGAAGTGACCTTTGGCTCACGCGGCAATAACTCACCCCTTAATGAACACCCAACGGAAGCGCCTTGGAGGGATCCTGGCCCGGTTGGGCTTCTAACTTCGCGCCTCGACCTCCGCTTCCAGCCGGCCCAGGCCCAGGGAGCCACGCCACTCGCCCGCCGCCCCCCAGACCTCTCGGCTGGGTGGGGCCCCGAGGGCGGCTCGGTGGAGGCGCCAAGGTACCCGGAATCTCAGCCGGTCCTGAAGCCGCTTTATATAATACATTCACGTGGGCGGACGTCAACTTTCGCCGCTTGATTATTTTTTTATTTATTTAATTTTTTTTTTTTGAAACGGTATTCTTTAGAAATAAGAGCGGTTCCTTCAGAAGAAGGGATAAGCCAGATCCCCGATCCCCCCCGGAGCCTGTAGCTAGATTTGGTTTTCCCAGCCACAGAGAACTGGGTAAGTTTTTACCTGAGCAATCCGGGGTGAGCTTCGTGCTCTGGGCACCCAGGTTTGGGAAAGGATAGGGAAAGGTGACTCCTAAGCTGACCAAAGTTAGCCAGAATCACCCTCTGCATTTGCCCTCTTGGGCCTACTCATTACCCAGCACCAACTCAAGTTTAGTGGCTTACTCTCCTCCAATCTTAGGCTTAGCTAGCTGGCTCTGGGCCACCAGCTCAAGTACCCTTTTCTCAGCCAGAAAGAACTAGGGGAACTGGATGAAGACCCCTAGGCTACTTGTAAGAAAAGAACCAGTCCCAGGCAGTTCTGACCCTATACCTGATTGCCCACCAGCACCCCAGGTGAGAGGAACTCTTCGGGATAGGGCCAGTGTGAAACCTAGGTGGGAATTATTGAAATTTTCGGAGAAGTTATAAGTGAGTGCTCCACGGGGCCAAATGAAATGCTGCTCGCAGTAATTGGATTCAGCTGACTAAGTTGGCAGGCGCAGCTAGAAGGCAGCCAGCAAAGAAAAATATCCAGTGACTTTAAGTTCTGTTGGAGCCAAGCGCAAGCGATTGACAAAACAACTTTACTACTCTCCTTTGATGAAGGCCCTGGTAGACAGTCCCTCTCACACTGAGACCTGTCCTGTCCCATTGAAGTAAAAGGAGTGACTTGTTTTTGGAGTCTCTTCCCGCCAAGGCCTAGTCTGGCCTGGCCTGGCCTGTGGCAATCCCTTAACATGAAGCTGCCAACTCAGGCCTTAGCCAGGGAAAGATGGAGTTGGGTTATCTCCTCCTGCAGCTAGGCACAAGTAAACAAAAGGATGGATGGGATGTAGGAACCAAAAATATGATGTGACTTTCACTCCAAGTTCTTTGGGGAGATGAATCCAAATTCCCAAACCATTTTTCTGCCACTATGGCAGCCCAAATCCTAGCTGAGGGAGGGAACTGAGGAGCCTCCAAACATTTTTGGACAGTTTGATGATTCTCTCAAATTGAGGAAAGCCACTGCAGTAGCATTTTAGCCTCCCAAGGAAAAAAAAAATAAGCTAACAGCAAAAGATAATGGCATGCATTTGAGGAGCTCTATCCCAGAACAATGCAGGGAGCTGGCTGGCCACAGAGTTTATTTTAAATACATATAAATCAAACCCCTAGTCCAGCCCAGCAGCTCAAAGACATGGAATTAAAATGGTGCTCCATCTTATTTTGGCTGTGACAGTGTAAAAAGAAAAAGTTTCTTTTTATTAATTTTCTTTTTCAGCCCATTCTCATAACTGCATAGTGACTCCTAAAATACTCCTTTCCTTCCTCACCGCTGGGTGAGACCCCCGCCCCTGCTACCGGCCACCCTCCTAGCCTGGGAAGGTAGTGTGTCCTCCTAACCTTTGGGTAGGCAGGGAGCTTTTCCACAAAGCGCACCTCCTTAGATTAATCACCATCCTCGATGTATATGTAGAAGTGCATTTAGGTCTATGCAGGCTGCCTCACCAATTGGCAATAATCAAGATCACAGATTACACAAAATAAATCATATTTAGTATCCCGCTCAGGGTGGCAAGCAGCACCGCGAAAGATTTTCATTTTGTCATGCAATTGCTTACCTGGATCCCAATTTATCATAAACCTCGTGTTCTCGGCCTTAGAGTGGGCGCCAGTGGAGGGAAGAGCTAGCCTTCCCCCTTTGTCTGCAGTCAACACTGTCCCAACCCTGGTCTTGCGCGCTTGCAGACGCGGCCATATACTCGAGCACATGGAATTCCCGGTAGAACGGAACCAGGCTGAGGTTCAACTACCAATAAATGCAGGAGGAACGAACTGGTGCTCTCCGAGCTGGCGCTCCCCAAGCTGGCTTCCCCTGCGCGCTGCGCGGTCCTCTGTCCACGTCCACCCGCTCATCCATTCGCTCCCAGGCCTAGAGCGGGGGTCACCTGCACCCCCACCAACTCCAGGGTTCCAGCCCAACCCTCCCAGGCCCCCCAGAGCTCGGAATTTGTTTTGCTTTCAGAACGTGGTCCTTTCTGGATTTGAAGAGAGCTCCGGAAACCCCCTCAAGTCGGGAAATACAGGCGCTGCCTTCAAATGCTAGCATATTTGTTCACGTGACCCCGAGGGAAGATTGTACTGATTGAGGCTGAAACTTTCACGCCATCCAGCCCCGGGGGCTAGGAGAGGGGGGAGGGCACAGGAGGCGTGGGGTTGGAGCCCCCTTTCCCGGCAGACACGGGTGGATGTGGGGCGGAAGCCAAGCTTCATCTCGCCCTGGACCGGTCCAGCCCAGCCGGGTGGCCGCAGAGAGACCGGGATGCTGAGCATCTCCTTCCCCCACCCCCAGCCCGCCCCAGCCTGGACCCAGCCTTCCAGTAACGGACCTAAGGGGTGGAAATTTTAAAGACCACCCCTCTCAGACGGGCTTAGGGATGCATCTGTGGAGCCAGAGACGTAGGGGCAAGACACTCTCCTGGCCGCCTGTCGGTTGTGGCCTAACGCAAGCCTCAGGGCTCTCCGCTCTGCTCTGGGGGTTATCACCCCCTTCACACACACCCCTAGGAGCCCACAGCCACCATCTCTACTTGGAATTTTGTCTCTGTCTAAAGAAGCAGCAGCCAAGCCACCACTTCTGAAAGCCAGAAAAGGTGCGTGTGTCCGGTTGCCACCAAAAGGCCTCCTCCCCTCTGCCCTGAGCTCCCTGTTTGGCTAGCGAGGCTCAGAGACTTGGGGGCGAGAAGCTTCTGCCAGCCCAGAGCTGTGAGCTTCTGTGATGATCCCCCAGGCCCAGGGATAGCCAGACTGCACCTTCCCGCTTCCCGCGCGCGACCAGGAATCGCTGGGGCCTGGCTTATCTGAAGGTCCAGGGAGCTTCTGTTTTAGAAAAGTGGCATGAAAATAGGTTCCGAGCACTCACTAAAGGGATTTGAGGGCACAGTTCTGCATGTGGCAAGTAGTGTTGAAGGGTGTAGCCTGCTCCTGTTTTACAGAGCCCAGCGCAGACTTCCCAGCCCGGCGGCCTGCACCCCAAGTACCCTGCATCTCGAGGAGCTTGCTCATCCATCGTCCCATTGCTAAAGTCTCCCTTTCACCAGCTGTGTTTCTCAGACAGCATCAGGCGTGGAGTTGGTGCCCTGGCCCCGTGTGCTGAGTAGTAGAGAATCAAATCAAATGGGCAGGCACCCAAGAGCTTCAGCCTGGGCAAGCGGGTAGGGTCCCACACACCCCCATTTTGAAGGCACAGGAAGGTCCCAAAGGATGGGTCACAGGTTCCAGTCCCCAGCCTTGTCGATGAACCATTCCTTTTGTTCACCTGGCAGGCTGGCCCCAAGGTCCACTCGAGGTGTCTTAGGGAGCAGGGCTGGGGTGTCCTCAGTCCACCCACACCTCACCATCACCACCCCAGTTTCCCTCCAGGGGCCTGAACACCGGGCCTGAAGCAAGTGTTAATCCTCAGCCAAAGAAGGCCGCCTCTTTTCGGGAATTTGTCTCCAGGAAAGGATCTAAGACTTCTTCAATCGGAGCATATGTTCATAGAGCAATAAAGTGGAAAGATTTACAGTCCTCGCCCGGCCCCCAACAGCCTCGCACCCTTTCAGGAATTACTTACGATGATTTATCACACCAACCCGGGCAATTGTCACACTGATAAAATAGCCCGGGCCGGT